TTCCCTCTCCCAGCTTTGTATAACGCTGCAAGAGAGATACAGAGAGAGAGATTGAGTGAGATAGCCAGACACACACACAGAGTGAGAGAGATAAAGATTAAACGCTGAGGTACAGTCATGAGTAAATACTTCCTCCTTCTTCTTCCCTCTCCCAGCTTTGTATAACGCTGCAAGAGAGATACAGAGAGAGAGAGATTGAGTGAGATAGCCAGACACACACACAGAGTGAGAGAGATAGAGATTAAACGATGCGATACAATCGGGACAAAAAACTTCCGCCCTCTTCCTCCTTCTTTCAGCCTACTATAACGCTGCAAGAGAGAGATAGAGAGAGAGAGAGACAGGGAGAGATAGATAGCCAGACGCACAGAGAGTGAGAGAGATATCGATTAAACGCTGAGGAACAGCCAGGACTAAAAACTTCCTCCCTCTTCTTCCCTCTTCCAGCCTCGCTCTCTCTTACGCTGCAAGAGAGCGAGAGAGACTGAGATAAATAGATAGAGAGATTAAACACTGAAGTGCAGCCAGGATTAAAAAAAAACTCATTTCCTCCTCAATCACTCAGCATTCACCAGTGGGTTTTGGCACAACTCACAGCAGGGGAGAACTTTCACACCCCTCCCACCAAGAATATATAAGAGTATAGAGAAGGTATTGTATTCATGTATATATATATGCTTCCCCCCCCCCCGATCCCAACATTCGAACTGTGCTCCCCAAGTTCGCATTTCCTATATACACATAATTATAAGTACACTTCGGTTAAGTTTTTCTTGCAACATCACAGACAACACCGCCGTATACTGGTGCCACTGCATTGCCGAATAACCGTAAACTAAAATCGTTAATTAAATCGCAATCAATTCCCAATTAAAACTTGTCGAAAAACGCGCGATGCAAGCACCCGTTGAACTACTGTAGTGCTAACGGTTAAAACTCTCAGTCTCAGACGTGCTACGATCATAGGTTATTCGATTGATGTAAAAAATTATACGTACCATGCGATCTCTCTCGTCCTCGATTGCCGATATGAGTTTGCCAAACTCCTTCAGAGATGCAGCTGCGATAGAAAGAAAGAACAGCGTGGGGTTACTGCCTCGAGTGAGTGAGTGAGTGAGTGGGTGAGTGAGTGAGTGAGTGAGTGAGTGGGCTCATTCACTGCCGCAAACCACAGTCTGAACCACACACGCGCGTACGCACATACACGCACACGCATATATGCACGCACTCACAGACACACACACGCACACACGCACGCACGCACGCACACACAGGCAGCTGGGGGGGGGGGGGGTGACGAGACCAGACAAGACGTGTTTGTAAACACAGTGGGGTGATCCACCCCTCCCTCCAGCTACTAGTTTACCCAGAGAGCGCCTTGGATCTACCCGGTGGGGGCCCACACATTCGGTATAAGGTGTCGTTGTAAATCCACTTAGACATCAAAACAAACAAATAGTCGGTCAGCTAGGGTTTCCCGTCTTGCTCCCATACAGAGGCGGTGCCACACACTAACATGTCCGGATGTATATATAATATATATATAAATATATGTTGCATGCTACAGTGACAGTACGAGCGTCAATCTTTCACAGCAGCCGTCAAGCGTACCTAGGTAGCCAATGAGGTTCGTCTTCTACGTACATGTATGTCATTGAAAAGTGGAGGCGGGATGCGGGAGGATGGTGGAGGAGGCGAGTGGAGGTGGGGGGAGGAGGCTGGTGGTGGAGGCGCGTGGAGGAGGTGGATGGTGGAGGAGGATGGTGGAGGAGGCCCGAGGAGGCCCGTGGAGGAGGTGGAAGGAGGAGGATGGTGGAGGAGGACCATGGAGGAGGTGGAAAGAGGATGGTGGAGAAGGCGAGTGGAGGTGGGGGGAGGACGAGGATAGTGGAGGAGGCGAGTGAATGTGGGGGGAGGAGGCTAACGGCGGAGGCGCGTGGAGGAGGTGGAAGGAGGAGGAGGATGGTGGAGGAGGCCCGAGGAGGCCCGTGGAGGAGGTGGAAGGAGGAGGATGGTGGAGGAGGCGAGTTAATGTGGGGGGAGGAGGCTGATGGTGGAGGCGCGTGGAGGAGGTGGGAGGAGGAGGAGGAGGATGGTGGAGGAAGTGCATGGAGGAGGTGGAAGGAGGAGGATGGTGGAGGAGCCGAGTGGAGGTGGGGGGAGGATGAGGATAGTGGAGGAGGTGTGTGGAGGTGGGGGGCGGAGGAGGATGGTGGAGGAGGTGCGTGGAGTAGGTGGAAGGAGGAGGAGGATGGTGGAGGCCCGTGGAGGAGGTGGAAGGAGGAGGATGGTGGAGGAGGCGAGTGGAGGTGGGGGGAGGACGAGGATAGTGGAAGAGGTGTGTGGAGGTGGGGGGAGGAGGTTGGTGGAGGAGGTGTGTGGAGGCCCGTGGAGGAGGCTAGGGGAGGAGGCAGACGGAGGACTAGTGGAAGAGGTGGACGGGGGGACGGGAGAGGTGGGCAGGGGAGACTGGCAGGAGGCAGGAGGAGGTGGTGGGCAGGGGAAACTAGCAGCAGCACCAGGAGAAGGAGACAGACAGCGAGAGAGGACCAACACGATGCGAACGTACCTATCACAACTTCATCGTCTGTCTGTGTGTTGCCGATGCATTCGAACTTGAATCTCATCAGCGTGCTGGAGAAGTTACGCTGAGCCTTCGATAACGCTGCAGGAGAGAGAGAAGGAAAGACAGATAGAGATTAAACGCTGAGGTACAGTCATGAGTAAACACTTCCTCCCTCTTCTTCCCTCTCCCAGCTGCAAGAGAGATACAGAGAGAGATTGAGTGAGATAGCCAGACACACACACAGAGTGAGAGAGATAGAGATTAAACGCTGAGGTACAGTCATGAGTAAATACTTCCTCCTTCTTCTTCCCTCTCCCAGCTGCAAGAGAGATACAGAGAGAGATTGAGTGAGATAGCCAGACACACACACAGAGTGAGCCCAGCAGCAGCAGCAGCAGCACACCGCACCAGCAGCAGCAGCAGCAGCATCACACCCGCACAGCAGCAGCAGCAGCAGCATCACCACCCGCAGCAGCAGCAGCAGCAGCAGCACCACCACCACCCGCAGCAGCACCACCCGCAACAGCAGCAGCAGCAGCACCACCACCACCCGCAACAGCAGCAGCAGAAGCAGCAGAAGCAGCAGAAGGAGGAGCAGCAGCAGCAGAAGCAGCTACCAAAGAACAAGTTTCTGCTCCCCTCACATAATGGCTTCAGGGATTCAGGGATGAGAAGGACGCACCTCCCCCCCCCCTCTCTTCTCACCTCCCTTTCTGTGCTCATAGCACCCGATCTTGCAGCGGCAAACGTAGAAACTGATGTAGCAAATTCATTCTTCCTTTTTAAAATCAGTATTTACTACTAACGTTTTATTGTACATATACAAGCAACTAGGTTTTACTGGAACTAAATGCTTTTGAATTCGTATTCGAATTCGGGCATCATCCTTCTCTTCCCGACTGCATTCACTGCGTGCTCCCACGCAAGCTGAACCTAAACTTGCACACACACTTTACATTTATGATTTACTTTATTGACCCCCCCCCCCTTCACATTTTCCCTGAGCTTCTCTTTCCAAACAAACCCGCTCCTTTCTTCCCCTGCATGCCACCCTCTGAACAAGCCATTGACGAAGCAAAAGAAACTAATACGCTAATGGCAAATTGCTCGCCAATTTAAGTAACTCTTAAAACTCTTTGATTTTTGATTTTTAATTCCACATTTAATTTTAAGTGGACTTCCAAATTCAATGTCATTAAAACCCCCTTTGAGTAGTCTTTAGCTCATTTCCTTAAAAAGGAAAGAAATCAATGCTTAGACTACAATTGAAGGTCAGGAAACGACGAATTTTTGCGCATCAGTAAAAAGCACGTTTCATGCTCCCCCAAATGATTTTATAAGAAGTCCTTTGCTGGTTATAGGGAAAATTATGAACATGTATGTACGCTTTGTACGTACTGTATGTACGTATTGTATTCATGTATATATATATGCTTCCCCCCCCCCCCCGATCCCAACATTCGAACTGTGCTCCCCAAGTTCGCATTTCCTATATACACATAATTATAAGTACACTTCGGTTAAGTTTTTCTTGCAACATCACAGACAACACCGCCGTATACTGGTGCCACTGCATTGCCGAATAACCGTAAACTAAAATCGTTAATTAAATCGCAATCAATTCCCAATTAAAACTTGTCGAAAAACGCGCGATGCAAGCACCCGTTGAACTACTGTAGTGCTAACGGTTAAAACTCTCAGTCTCAGACGTGCTACGATCATAGGTTATTCGATTGATGTAAAAAATTATACGTACCATGCGATCTCTCTCGTCCTCGATTGCCGATATGAGTTTGCCAAACTCCTTCAGAGATGCAGCTGCGATAGAAAGAAAGAACAGCGTGGGGTTACTGCCTCGAGTGAGTGAGTGAGTGAGTGGGTGAGTGAGTGAGTGAGTGAGTGAGTGGGCTCATTCACTGCCGCAAACCACAGTCTGAACCACACACGCGCGTACGCACATACACGCACACGCATATATGCACGCACTCACAGACACACACACGCACACACGCACGCACGCACGCACACACAGGCAGCTGTGGGGGGGGGGGTGACGAGACCAGACAAGACGTGTTTGTAAACACAGTGGGGTGATCCACCCCTCCCTCCAGCTACTAGTTTACCCAGAGAGCGCCTTGGATCTACCCGGTGGGGGCCCACACATTCGGTATAAGGTGTCGTTGTAAATCCACTTAGACATCAAAACAAACAAATAGTCGGTCAGCTAGGGTTTCCCGTCTTGCTCCCATACAGAGGCGGTGCCACACACTAACATGTCCGGATGTATATATAATATATATATAAATATATGTTGCATGCTACAGTGACAGTACGAGCGTCAATCTTTCACAGCAGCCGTCAAGCGTACCTAGGTAGCCAATGAGGTTCGTCTTCTACGTACATGTATGTCATTGAAAAGTGGAGGCGGGATGCGGGAGGATGGTGGAGGAGGCGAGTGGAGGTGGGGGGAGGAGGCTGGTGGTGGAGGCGCGTGGAGGAGGTGGATGGTGGAGGAGGATGGTGGAGGAGGCCCGAGGAGGTGCGTGGAGTAGGTGGAAGGAGGAGGAGGATGGAGGAGGCCGTGGAGGAGGTGGAAGGAGGAGGATGGTGGAGGAGGCGAGTGGAGGTGGGGGAGGACGAGGATAGTGGAAGAGGTGTGTGGAGGTGGGGGGAGGAGGTTGGTGGAGGAGGTGTGTGGAGGCCCGTGGAGGAGGCTAGGGGAGGAGGCAGACGGAGGACTAGTGGAAGAGGTGGACGGGGGACGGGAGAGGTGGGCAGGGGAGACTGGCAGGAGGCAGGAGGAGGTGGTGGGCAGGGGAAACTAGCAGCAGCACCAGGAGAAGGAGACAGACAGCGAGAGAGGACCAACACGATGCGAACGTACCTATCACAACTTCATCGTCTGTCTGTGTGTTGCCGATGCATTCGAACTTGAATCTCATCAGCGTGCTGGAGAAGTTACGCTGAGCCTTCGATAACGCTGCAGGAGAGAGAGAAGGAAAGACAGATAGAGATTAAACGCTGAGGTACAGTCATGAGTAAACACTTCCTCCCTCTTCTTCCCTCTCCCAGCTGCAAGAGAGATACAGAGAGAGATTGAGTGAGATAGCCAGACACACACACAGAGTGAGAGAGATAGAGATTAAA